CAAAGGCTTTCACCTTTAACAAACCGCCTTCCCAGGCGAGGCCAGACCTCCAGACACCCGAGCTGCTGTCGAATGAGTTTTGGTTTTAGTTTTGCAGGATGTGAAGGATCGGGCGTGCATCCGTGGCGCCAGTGAATGGCACTTCAAAATGGGTAAGAGGGTATGTTTGACGTTATGTGCTTTTAACCCCCCCTTTTTTTAACCACTGTTTTTAAAAAATAGCAAAAACAACACAGCTGGTGTGGCGCAGTGGTTGAGCATCAACCTATGAACCAGATCATGGTTCAATTCCCAGCTGGAGCACATGCGCGGGTTGCGCGCTCCATCCCTAACAGAACCATGGCCTCCTGGTTCCTGGGTCGACGCTCAGCCGTGGGGCCACACTGACTGGGCACAAACTTAAAACCCTTTTAAACGGAACAAGTCAGAACACTCACCATGTTCAGCCTCCCCCTCTAGTTCCCCAGCATTCTATCCCCAAACACATCCATCCCTGTCCCCCTTCCACACTTACAGCCATTCCGCCCCGGCCCCCTGCCCCAGGCAACCCCCACCTGCTTTCTGTCTCCATAGACTGGACGGTTCTGGATGTTTCAGATCCGTGGACTCACGCACAAGTGGCCTGTGGCTCCGCTGGTTTTTAAGGAATGAAGGCCGAGGGACACACTTGAAGGCTGAGCTGAAGCCCAGAAATCATAAAGGCTTTAAAAAAAAACAAAACAGAACAAAACAAAAAAGGATGTTTCCAAGAGGTAGTAAGACTCAGCGTTGTCAAGAACTGGAGGAAGGGGGCGGTGTCTAAGGGGGGGGGGAAAGGGGAGGCTGTGATGCTCGGCCGCCTCCTCACGCCCCCTTGTGGCTGGTGAAGCCTTGGCGTGCAGGACGCGCCCACGGAGCCAGAAGATGATGCGGGTTTGGAGCCGTGGAGTCTGCACTTCGGTTGCATAACTATTACCCAGGGTCCTCCCCCTCCATGCACGGTCACCCCCTGGGCCTGCAGAAACGGGGTGACCACTGGATGGCTCATCTCCTAGGCAACACTTAGAAATCCTCCCCAGTGGAAGACTCCGACCGTCTCGGTTTCTGCACCTAAACTCCTGGACACCCTCCCATGCCGTGTCCCCGTGCACATCACTTTTTTCCCATTTTAGCCATTTGCAAGTGTGTAGCTCTGCGGCATCAAGAACACCGTTGTAACTCCTCTAGCTGGTGTGGCTCAGTGGATAGAGCGTCGGCCTGCGGACTGAAAGGTCCCAGGTTCGGTTCCGGTGAAGGGCATGTGCCTGGGTTGCGGGCACATCCCCAGTGGGGGATGTGCAGGAGGAAGCTGATCGATGTCTCTCTCTCATCGATGTTTCTAACTTTCTATCTCTCTCCCTTCCTCTCTGTAAAAAAATCAATAAAATATATTTAAAAAAAAACACCGTTGTAACTCTAGCTGGTGTGGCTCAGTGGATAGAGCTTCGGCCTGTGGACTGAAAGGTCCCGGGTTTGATTCTAGTCAGGGCACATGCTTCCATCCCCGGCCCGGAGGCAACCAGTGGATGTGCCTCACATCAGTGTCTGTAGAGACAAACATGTCTCTCCCCCTCCCTTCCACTCTCTCTCTAAAATTCAATGGAAAAAATATCCTTGGATAAAGATTAACAAAACCATAAAAATAAATGTTTAGAGGAGGACGGAAGGAAAGATACGGAGGAACACATTCCTTGCTCAATTACAACCGCTTGGGGGCGCTGCCGGCCTCCTGGCTAAAGCGGCCTGTGCAGCGGCTCCCTCTCCCGGCGGCAGTGAACACTGCAGGCTAATGACCCCGAGTCCAAAGGCCCTGCCCACCCGCAAGCAACACCTCGGGGAGCCCTGTGCGGCTCGGCGAGGGATTTGTACCTTCGGACAAAACACAGAGAAACACGTCCAACAACTTACAAGCCACACCTTTGCCTTCGGGGCTCACACCGCTGCGTTCACGTCCGCGCGCCCTCAGCGTGGCTGTTGACAGGACTCCCCGCAGCAGGACCCGGGCCGGGTCATGGCTGACAGGCTCGCATCTGCGGGCGGAGGGCCCTGTCGCTCGCTGTTCGTAGGGATGGTGTTGCCCTGGCGGCTTCCTTTGCTGTTGAGAAAATGACATCCAAGGTGTTTGCCTTTATTCAAAACGCAAGGTTAGAACTGTCAGAACTACTGAAGATGTGAGCAGGCCCGTGCCGTACGCGGCCTCCCACGAGGGGCTGCTGTCCGCGTGTGCGGAGGGCATGCTGGGCGCCTGCAGGTCTTTTCATCGCACGTTCCTGTGAGCTCCCTACACACCCCAACACCGGAGAGCATTCCCTTTCAAAGAACTAAAGGAAGTAGGAGGCCGTAACCAATACAGTAATCACTACTTAGTTACAAAAATAAGTTCTAAGGCTGACTTTTAAAAATATGGACGCTCCACCCATGTCCGCGTCACCCTTCGCAGGAGCCGTCCTGATCTCCGCACCTTCCCCTGCAGAGTACCTGCCGCCCGGCGGGCGCCAAGACCAGGGACGTCTCGCGATTCCCAAGGACCTTGCTAGAGACGCGGCATCTGTGCTGCCCTTTCAGGCAGATGCCCCGGGCACCAGCACCAGAGCAGCAGCCACCTGGGCACGCTGGTAGACGGGCTAAGCGCACCGAAAGGCCAC